CTTATATAACTATGAAGTAATTTACGTTAGGCTAGCTCACAGCTTTGTACGCCTGAATATTTAAATTTCTACTACTATTAAGTTATTGTTATTGATTGCAGATATCAATAAAAGCGAAAGCGGGTTATTAAAGAGCGAATAGAAGTGAATAGATAACATTCTTTAGCTTGAATATGTCTGATAAGCATATTGAGGAGCTGAAATGAGCTATTGACCAAGATGTTATATACTTTCAATTCTGAGAACATTCAAGTAAAGTTTTAATTATGTTAGATTGGATTTGGAACTGTGAGAGCGAGAGGGCTGCTCTCCCTGCGCTCGCTCGCTCTGCAGACATAGAAAATGAACAGTGAGGAAAATCGGCAAAGATAGACGATATGACAGAATATTGTGACAGTATTTGGGAGTTATAAATAGTTGTGAGGGACAGAAGAGATAAAAGTGTTAAGCTAGAGCACTTATTGACAGAAGTGCACGACTATGAGATACCCTGAACTCTCTCTATCCATGCGCTTTTCACATCTGAAGGCGCTTCGACGAGGAATCTAACGTTGGCTATTCTAGCACATATATCTTGAGAGATATACTTATATAAGTGAAGCTACATATTGTTGCTCGGAGCTAGTTTGTACTGTGACAGCTGCAGTTGGATCTATGCGTATTTTCGAGCTCGAGGACGACGATGAGCATGACTTTATGGTATCCCATGGCTTCTTTTGCCTGCTATGCCTATTGTATACATTTGGTATTAAGCAAAATGCCCCAAATTTTAATTTTGAATAAGAAAAAAACTTACATGAGAGGCAAATACGTTTTCCTATCGAACGGTCGCATAAGAGTTACGCAGTTCTGCTATTGAAACTGGCTAAAGTCCTTGCTCTTGACCAATTTGTGTGCCTGACTTATGAATAATTGAACGAGCTCGCAAGCAAAATCCCATCAAGTGCTCGAAACTGCGACCATCTGTTGCAGTGGCCAAGAAAAGGTCATAAATCAAACTCGATTGGGAATAAGCGAACGCAAATTCGGCAATGGACAGTCTGCAGACGGCGTAAGGAGGACACAGCAGGGGCAACAGAAACAGCAACAACTTTTGATTTGATTTGATTTGATTGCGGATGGCATTTAGCAGCTGACAGCCATGTGGACGAGGAGGCGCAAAGAGACACGAATCAAATTGGCGTAGCTACTGAACGATACGCACAATCTGTATTTATCTATGCTGATGCAATGCGGGGCGCGCCTCTTGCAGCAGCTGGGATTAGCGATGGCGGCATGCAAATCGCTAGATTCGGGTTCGGGTTGGGGCGGGGGTTGGGGCTGCGGTTAAGGTCAAATCATCAAATCAGCAGTCAAAAACATGGGAACGGATAGTTCAATGTGAACCGACAGATGTTGCCAACTGTTGCTTGCAAATCAGTTTGCACTTGCGGCTATAAGTTTCAAGTTGTTAAAGTATACGCAATGCAGTATTTCTGATCTGTTCATGGTAATATGACTGCATACCAAATTTGGCGTGCAAATTTGATCTGCGCGAAAAACAAAGAGAACCGCAATTCCATTAGCTTTAAAGACCAGGCAGAACAACAAATAGGCAAAATATATAAATATAAGAGAGCTTAAAACGAAAAGTATATGTAATTGTCTACTTATCATTTATATATTCATAATTGCATCCTATTGTTGCAGTAGTATTAGTGTGAGGTTGGGAGCTTGAAAGTGCACTGTTGTAAAAGTATTATCCGAGTGAGTTTGTGTCTTCGCTACACACTGCTCATTTCTGGCTCCTCTAATGTGAGCGAGAAAGAGATAAAGATAACTATTGCTGAACGTAGTCCCGGTTGATGCTGGGAGTGAGCGAAATGGCTATGCGGTCATTTGGACAGGGTCGTTATGGTTGTTTGTGGACTAAGAGACTGCAAATTGATATTCTAGAAAAGCGCCTTGAGAAATGCGTTCTGTGGCTTAGTTGTACAAAATTAGAATTTTAGATGAAAAATTTAATATAAGCTCGGCATATCGTTAACGTACGTGAGAGGCCACCTTTGTAGTCAGAACTCAATATCGAGCCTACTTGAGGATGGTTGACAATATAATAATAATAAAATATAAAGACTAATGAAGGCATCAAATGCTTTTGAACCACTATAGTCTATAGTCAAGATAGTCTTCCAAGGAAGCAGAGCTGACATTGCTATAAATTGTACAATTAGACATTGCCTAACAACAACAATAATCAACAACAATTAGAGAATTTAACGTTAAAGCAAATATTTTGTAGGGCTAAGCTACAGCCTTTACCGTGTTTTATCTAATGGCCAAGTTAGGCAGCCAAGGCCAGGCTGCTATGTTGTGCTAATTTGGGTTCGAGAGTGAAAAAGTTTTTGAACACTGAAATTGTTCAGGTGCCACCCACAGTGTCGCAATGTGTGACTTTGTGTGCGTATCTGCTAGTCGTTCATTTGCTGCTAAGAGAAGCCTGCTTAACCTTAAAGTTTTAAAGTTCAATTAAATGTTGAAGAGGCACTCGACGGGATTAGTCGAGTTTCTGCATGCAAATTAGCTTCATGAGAGGATATCAACGTCACCTCGTCTGTTGATGAGCTGCAATTTGCTGAGCTTGCCAAGCAAAGCTTCGCTTGAGTAGTAAAGCTCGGCAGCTTGCAAAGAAGCCAGCGGAGTGACAGTTGCACTGCAAAAGCTTAGTCGAGGCACAGGTCGAAAGCTTTTAGCACGGACACACACCGTCACATCTCACTGCCGATATTATTTATACGTAATTAATTATTTGTTTATAACAATTTGTTAGCATCGGCATGGTCGTAAATTCTAAGAAATTTCCGATATCATTCATTGAAGACTTGTGCATCAGGATTTTCATTAATTTGATTAAATTACAGTAGGCCTTAATTGATATAGTTTATTCCCGGTATTGTTTTTCGAGATATATGTTGCATTGCGGCTGTTGCTGTTTCGACTGTGCTCGCGGTCAGAACCTGCTGCATAGTATCTCTAAGGCATCGCTTGTAGCGTTTCAGTTCGGTTCAGTCGCTTGGCACTGCTGGTTGCCCGCCGTAAGACTTTGCTCGCTCGCTCGCTCGATCGATTGTCGTTTTTTATTGTTATATTTATTTAGTGTTTCCCGAAAATTAATAGAATTTCACTTACTGATTTGAGCCCAGTTGGCAGCAACTTGCCATTGCTAAATTACAAAAAGAATAATATACTTCACTTACCTCTTGTCATTTGCTTTACCTTTTTTTTCCCGTGCGTGTGTGGCTCGTTTGTGTTGTGTGTGAGTGTGATCTCTCAATCGATAGTAACGTATTCAAAACAGCTGTCAGCATAAGGTAAGTTGCTCTGCACCAACCTCAGCCCCAGCCGCAGCCCTAGCGCTGCTGTTCGCTCTGAGCGAAAGCTGAACGCACATGTTCAGACGACATTCAATTGAGTTGGGCGAACTGATATACGACGGCATTCCTCAATTATTTGGGCGGCTAAAAATTGAGTGATTAATGTTCATAATACTCAGAGCCCTCCACTCAACTCTTATTGACATTGGCGTTGACACGCTGAAGAAGACTTTTATATCGTTGGGTCTGTTATAGCACTCATTGCTGTTGACAAAGTTAATTGCGATCTCTTTAGGCTCTGCCTGCACCGCAAATATCTTAAGCAAATATAATAAAACTGTGGGACACACTTATTTTGCTAAAGATTAGATACGAGCTTAAATAACAAGCCCGCAACTATATCTGCCTTATAGATAAATCTCTCTGTAACAGTTCCATATAGTCAAATAATCGCTGTTAGATATGCAAGTTTTCGCTGTTGGAAAGGGTATACCAAAGTCTGTGTCAGCCAATACTAACCCAATATAAAATATGGCCATCCATTCATTGTTAGTCACAAAAGCTTTCTGCCGCTGACTTCCGAGCTTTTTCTCACATACCAAAAAAAAAAAAAAACAAAGTTAAAATACCGAAACTTGTGCCGCCAGCAGACGAAACCTAAGCAAATGAGCTGCGTGACAAAAACACATAAAGCACAATCACAATCACGATGTCTATATGGAAGTGTGTTAAACCCTGTGTCTCTTGACACAACATACATGAATGAACCTAATCGAAATATGTATTTTGGCAAATGGAACAATTGTGGCACGATTTATAGAAACTTGGCAAGAGATATATGATTATTGTGAAATAAACAGAATTATATAAATATTTAACTAAATACTCAAAGTGATTACATTTTGGGGGAAGAACAGATCAGAACAGATACATATATATATATATATATATATATGCATGGTATATATAGATATACATATATATGTGTGTGTGTATATCACGCACGTTTAGTAAAAAGTAGTCTATCAATAAAATCATCTGCAGCAGCTGTGAAGAGCGATAAAATGAGATTTTTTAACAAACAAAAAAAAGCTAGAGCATGTTAGGTTAAGCCTGCCTGGCTGCATAATACTGCTTCACATACTAATACAATATATATGTACAAATAATAGATATATAAATTATTACAGTTTTGTTCCTAAAAATAGTGGTAGCCCCAAATGCATAGGTACGATAAGATAATAAGATGCGGATGGAAAATAAAGACAAGCCCATTTTTCGTTTAGTATAGAATGCAAAGCAGAGAATTGCAAAAGGAAACCCGTTAGTTTCAGCCAAAATTAATTTGCTTTTGACGATCTTAGACAGATGAAGATAGAAATAGTACTGTGGGTGGAGTTGGGGAAAAACCAGTAGAAAACAAGTGCCCGACTAGGAGATACCTTGATCCCAGTCCTATTTGCCTTATTTAATATATGTCATAGCTAGTATAACGCCTTAAAAAAAAGACAAATGACAACCGACATTAGCACTCACAGATTTCAATCAACATCGTCCATATAACGGGCTCAACTCTACTAACACAGCCTCATCACATTTAAAAGAAAAGAGGTTTCAGCATATGATCTGCATATTCTATTGGAGGACTTGTCAGCTTCGTACAAATTTCCAACTGAACTTAAATTTAAAAATTTGGGGAAATTTGGCGCTGGTAGCTAAATTGTATTTTAAATCAAAATTGTAGAAAATATACATAAAACTATATACACAATTTGGTATAATTTCATAACAGCATTTCGATAGATAATAATAAAACAAGAAGACTTATCGATTATGTGAAAGAAACTTGAAGTGCGCGTTAATGTATAAACAGATATACAATAAATTCCAAGAAGAGCGAAACAAATTGTATTTATGAGTGAGACCACATCGTGCCAGAAGCCCATTCAAGTTTTTATATAGAAGTAAGTGCACAAGAATGCCTGATATCGATAGCATGAAAGGAAATCGTTAGACTGACTTGAAGTGTATATTTCAAAGTGGGCCAAAATTAAGCACAAGCTAGATCGATCGAATCGGAAATGTATAGACGCACGTCCACTCCGCAACAATAACAACGAGTTTCACATGCTTAAAAGATGAAAAGTACATCGAGGAGGCATCAGAAAGCATCAGAAATTCGTTTCAAATTTCAAATGAATGAAAATCTTTAGGGCGCTTTGCATACTTCGTTCTTAGTTATGCTTGGGAAAATATTAGTGCAATAAATACCCTGTACTTAGCACAGATTCTTTAAAATAGTAGTTGTGTTTCCTTTGGAATTTACTTTTATTTTTGGAATTTCGATTTCTATCCATTGTGCTGAGTAAGCCCAAGGCATTAGCCAGTAGTTAATTGTCATCTATACTGAATAGCTGAATGGCTTGGGCAGGCTCAAAAAAAAAAAACAAATTCCGTGTGCCGTCCTTCACAATGTGCGTTCCAGAATGCAAATGACCTGAATAGCCATTTCGCTCTAGCAACTTTCGTAACTACATTAGGCAACAGTTATCTTTGTCTCTTTCTCTCACAGAGTGAGCATATGAGGATAGAAGCCAGAAACGAGAAATGAGAGCTAAGACGCAAACTCACACGGATAATATTTTTATAACAAACTCAATGCAAGCTCTCAGCCTCACACTAATACTACTGCAACAGTAGGTAGCAATCACGACGAAAGTGAACAGAATTTTGAAAAATATAAAACAAATTATGTTATCAATTCTGCAGTATCACGTTATAATGTCATTGTGATACGGCATATATGGCCATATATATCTTTTACTGTATAGAATATAATATACATATACTTGTTGTTGTACGCTTTAAGTTCTGCCACTGGCTATCTTTAGTTAGTTCACGGGAAAAAGTAAACCATATTTTAGCCAAGACACACACCAAAAAGCTCTTTCATTGATATTTTCGCGTATGCCTAAAAGTATGAAACAAAAATTTTTTCATTTGTCCCATTTGAACAAGTCTATTCAAGCTTAGTGTAGCTGTTCATTAATAAAAGCTATTTATTAACATATGATGTAGCTAGTTATTAGCATATGAAATAGTGCAAGTGAAGCTACTTAGATCCCATTTCAAGGTAACTGATATCAGATGACGTGCGGCACATGAAACTAAACTGATAAGAATTGTACATCTTTATATAGTCATAATTATTTTGTTTATACCCTGATCCCATTTAAAAGGGGAAATCGGCGTCTTATGGTTTTGTGCAAATGTGTGTAACAGGCAGAAGTAGGTGTGGCAGACCCTAGTTTGATTCAAAGTTATCCCTAACTTTATCAGTTGTCACGAAATCGATTGATATCCAAACGAAACTTGAGTTGTTCAAACTTCAAATCTGTTATTTAACGCTGCGCTACAGCATAATTAGCTAGTTTGGACACTTTGACCCCATTGTTCCCTGCAATCGACTCATATCTGAGGATAGTTGCGATAAGATGTTTGCAATAGCAGCTCGTTCACGGTATCTCCAAGTCGTTCACTTCCGACTAGGGCACTTTAACTTAACATTAGGTACTTGATAAAGCCGATATAGTTTTAGTATTTATAGGGTATTTATTGGGTATTTATTGGGTGTTTTAGAGTATTTATAGGGTATTTACAGGTTATTTAAAGGGCATTTACAGTGTATTTATGGATATTTGTAGAGGATTTATAGGGGATCTATGGGGTATTTACTTATACGGTATTAATAGGGTATTTGTAGGGTATTTATAGTGCACTTATAACGCATTTATACTAAATGTTTTCAATAGCAGCTCGTTCAGGGTATTTCCTAGTCGTTTACTTCCGTCTAAGACGCTCCTACTTAATATAAAATACTTTAGGTAAGCCTAAAACAACTCGAGCAACTCTACTGAAATGTATTTATAGGGTATTTAATCCTCGACAATGCCTAGTTACGTTATCAATTAATGCAAATTCTGTAAACAGCCAAAGCAAGCAAAATAGTTGTAGTATTGAAAAGTATGAATGAATCTGAAGTCACAATTATAGTTGAACTAACTAACTGAACAGTTGCATTAGGCTGGTGCCATTAGCTAATTAGCTAATTCAATATTTAATTGTTTGCTTCTTATTTCCAGAACTCAGCGTCGCCTTTTTCGTTTGGACTGTCCGCTTTGAGGTAAGTTGACTTGCATTTTCTGTTGAGTACATCGTGGCGTATGCGTAATATGCCATAATAAGTTAATATTACAAACGTGAACAATTGCGTGAATTTGAAAGTGCGTCACGACCAGACTCAAAACTCAATAACTCAAATGGTTAAGTTCTCCCGCCCTCTCCCCATCTCTCTCTCTCTCGCCCTGTCTCTCTCTCTGTCTCGCTTCGTCGTCGTCGCTCGCCTATTTTTCTGTCTGTTTGCAATGCAAACAATTCGGATTCCCCACGGCTGGCCGAGCGATCTGTAGTTCCAAAAATAAAAGCTGTCTTCATAGCGCCAAAGATGGGCTCGACTATGAAGCTCCAGCGCCGTTTTCTTTGTTCGGCTTTAATTCGTATTTTGGCAACGTCACATGTGCCCCAGCGTGTACTTCCCAAGTGCCCGCTCCTAATGCCATTGGCAAACAATTGAGTGTGTCAGTTGGCTGTGCTGCCGTACACACACATGTACAAGATGACGACCCCGGACATAGTAACACTGACCACACCACGTAATACCCATTAAGTGGGCCAGTGGCTCTGTGCTGAAGACTTCCTTTGCCCTTGGAATAGTTCCAGGCGTGCATGAATTGCTCTCAAACACTTTTCACCCCAGCCAGAATATGATTCATGACGTCTGATTCACTAGTTGTTGGCTTTAGCTAGTTCGCCTCAGTTTATATTACAACTGAGCAGATCGTCATGCAGATTTGTCATGCAAACGTCAATGGGCAGATGAAAATCTCTTGAAGGGAAAAGGTCCGACTTGACTTGATTCGGAGACAGACGACTTGTCGTGCTTGATAAGTCGAGGGTATAACAACTAAACACATAAGCAAATATTGAGCTTTGAGTTTGTCGGTCGGTAATTCACCTGCCGGTCACCTGTCGACCGACAGCCGTCAGCTGCCAGTCAGCAGCTTTGCCGCTTGGCTTGTCTGTGGTCAGTTCGTCGCGCGTTCGGCGAGTTGGCTGGCAATAGATCCGTCGTGCATGAGCTTGACGCTCTCGGGGTATTTCCACCTGCCGCCACATTCTTTTTTATTTTCGTGTGATGATTTGGGCAAGTGATGCAGCAACTGTGTGAGTATCCGCCAGCTGCTTAGATTTGGGGCCGTGCTAAAAGTCAACTGAGCGTTTAGCAAAAACTTTCCTCAGCCCCTCAGCCCCTCCCCCCCTTCCCTTCGCCCACTCAAACAGGTAGCTCTCAAGAATTGTCATCAGTCAGCTAGCATCCGCTATTGAGCAGCTTTAGCTCAACAATAAGACACACACAATCGCTTAATCGTGCGCGTACCGCACGCCAACCCGTTGACTCCTTCACATTGCCGTCGACACACTGTCGAGTGCTGATAAGATATGTGTAATCTGCTCATTAGTTGCCATATTAAAATACTCGTTCGCCGAGTGAACGGGGCATATCTAGCTGTCTGTCCTTCTGGCTGAATGCAGAGACTCGAAGCTAGAGATTTCGGATTAGTATATGGAGAACTCAAGACAGATGGATATAGCATATAGAATATAGATATAGGATATATATCTAGCCTTGGGTGGGCGCTGGGCACTCTATGGATTTCTGAAAGGCCTTGCCCCATTGCTTCAGGCTATTTTCTAGTCGAGCACTCTCGACCTGAGCTTTCTTACCGCTGAGCATCGCTTCAGGAAGCTCTTGAAATGTGCCCAAGCAGCGAGCGAGTATTATGCAGTCATGCCTAGCCGCTTTCCTTGCAATTTCAAGATAACGTTCAATGCAGTTGATTCGGCAATTAATTGATTTGAATTAAATATAATAATAAGCCAAGGCTGAAAATCCGACTAACTACCACAGCCAACTGATGCGAGATAAGCAGTGGAATAACATGAATAACATGCTCCATAAATTGTGTATAAATAATATCTAGTATAGAGAGTCAGCCAAGCTGCTCTTGCAAGGCCAACTCGAATAAGCCAAATCAATTCACGCGCAGGGCTGTTCATATTAATAGTAGCAGCACTTTGTAAGCTAAATTCAAAAGTACTTTCTTCATTTTACTTTGTTAGTGTCCAATTGCTTCAAAATGTTGTGCTTGCCACTAGATTTCGTTGTGCAACATTTACTGCACAGTCGCACTACTATTTTTATGAACAGGCGCTGAGAGCGCGCTACTATTTTTATGAACAAAGCTGTTATCAGGGACTTATCAGACTATATTCACAGATTGCCAATGTCTACATGGCCAATACTTGAACAATGACTAATAAATTTATATCGGATATTTATCAGATATATATAAATGATATTTATAAGTAGGAGCTCACAACAAGCTCCAGTCACTTGACAATTGTTTAAACTGTGGTTGCACTTTAAGCGTTACAAACCAAAAATTGCATTATCTTGAGAGCTTCCGTTGACGGCAACTGCTGAATCCATAAGGCAATAAAATGCCTTTATATTGGCTTTGAGACATAATTGCGACAATTATGAGTAATCGAGATAATTCATAGTTCATAATGCACTCAGATTTATTGGAAAGCCAATAGATATCAGCCTTTTGCATTTCAGTTCAATTCATGAATGAGTGTGCATTGCCTTTGCTATCCATGCGGATGCGGATGCGGATGTCGAGGCGAATGTCATTTGTATAGAAAGGCAAATAGTGTGAAGAACAGCCCTAGCAAGCATGCAACGTCATCTGGCGACCTCTCAATGGACACCACCACAAATACGATTCATATATAAATATATATGTTCGATAAAACTATAGAGCGAGATGGCCTGATCCGACGATTCGTCGTCTGTTCACATCACAAGTGCGAAAATTAGCATCCACATTTTCTGCCCCGTCATGGGCACCTGCGAGAGGTGGGCGGGCAGGTGTGGGTGTCTAAGTAGCAGCAAATACAGGTAAATAACATAATAGCGAGCACGTCATATCCGCAAAATAAAAAGAAGAAAGTTCTGAACTTTCCGACAATTGTCCAACAATTTGTATTTCCCAGTCAAATTTTGACTCAGCAGAGCGAGCAAATGAGTCCGCGGGCTCGAATCCCAGGTTGGGTTTCGAACAGCTATAGAATATCCTCCTCCAGTATGGTAAACAAAAGTTCTCTCTGTGTGCTTTTGGTGAAATGTTAAGTTTGGAATGGGAATGGGACTCTCTCCATAGCTTCTACAATATAAATGCTAAGGCTAACTGGATATTTCCGGGACTATTCCAGATTTACAATTAGATCTATAATTTTAATGAAAAAATAAAAATAAATTAATTTATTAAATAATTTAGCTGTTTTTAAGACTCACATATTTAGTCCATACAGCTGAGCCTCTTTGAATGCGCAAAGGAGTAGGCGTGGCAGACAAAGCATTGATCAGTGCGACGAGCTGAATCGATCTAGACGTGTAATCGATCGATATATATATATATGTATATATATATATGCGTCTGTACGTCTTTCTCGTCCATCCCATTAGCTAGACCCTTAGAAATCTTTCATTTTGTTGGACAATACAGCAGCGTTTGTTATTATCGATATATATCGATATTTCGACTTGGTTCTTGCGATGCTGTTGAAGTTGCCTGAAATGCATAATGGATGTATGCACCTATATATTCGACATTTTAAAAATATCTAAAAAATACTAAAACGCTTAAGATATATTTTAGAAAAATGTAAAAGCTGACATTTCAAATCTTATCTGCGCCTGAGACTATAAATAAAATATAATAATATAAATAATTTGATTGTTTAATAATTGTTTATGCTGCAGAGATAAGCTGTATATATATATATATACATATCACATATATTATATATATATCTGATATATGGCACGTCACAGTTAGCAAGTTGTTTTTGTTTTCTTGCTTTTTTATGGCAGCTGCAGCTCCTATATAATCATTGCAAAGGGGTGTTTTGCGTATCTGTATGCACATACAAGCATGCAAATGTCTATCTTGGGCCAGCTCATGCTGTCGCAAGAGCAGTAGTTGCTACAACGGCTGTGCGTATGAGTAATATGAAGTTGCATTTCATAGAAGAGTCGATTTAAGTGAAATAGACTTGAGTCAGGTCGCAAGGCGAGTGTGCTCTTATACTACTCTACAGCTCTATAGCTGGGCTGCAAATCTCGCTCTCTCTCTCTCTCTCTCGCTCTCTTTCTCTTTGACTCTCACTCTCTCCTTCTTTGTTTTCGTTTATTTACTTGTTCTTCTTCTTCTCGCATTGTTTACTATGCCCACTTTACATATCTCATTATTTACGTTTGCCAATTGCCGATTGTTGTTTGGTGTGCAGTTCGCACGCACCGTAAGACCGCGCGGATCGGAAATGCCAAAGCGGCAGCAACAGCAGCAACTCCAGCAGCAGACGGCAATGCATAAGAAGCAAAAACTAGCTACATTTTTTAAATCAAAATGAAAGTCTGTGTAATTCGACTAGCGTATATATCCCTATGTATGTATACGCTGGGCATAAGCCAATCAAAGTAATAAGTGCGTGGACTCTAAATATGTGTCGTACATATGTATAAATGCCGATCTCATTGAGCTTCTAATATTTTCTTTATAAGATTTCGGCTAACTGAACACAGAGCACGTACACACAATTGTGAAATAAAACTGAAATATTTAATAAGAACCGATACTAGAATACAAGATAATTACAGCTTTAATTTGAAAATAGTGAGAGGCAGAGAGTGTGTAACAGAGAGAGAAAGAGAAAGAGCGTGTGTGTGTGTGTGTGTGTGTGGAATGTGTTAAGAGAAGCAACCCACAGATATAGAGAGACATGGACATGGCAACAAGAGTTAGACAAAGCATTAAACGGAAGTGCGGAAGTGCAGCAAAGTGGCTGCATTGCAATGCCACTAAACATGTAGCAATAGCAACAACAACGACGGCGACAACAACAGTGAGCACAAGGAGGCAGCAAGAGTATAGCAACTTCCGTTTTTGGGCATGAAGTGTGTGCATAAATTAAAACGCTCTCAAAGAAAAAGGAAGAAACTAAGCAATAGCAACAACAGCAACGAAAGCAAGAAGAAGAACGCCAAAAACAACAGCAGCAAATGAACATATTGCGGTACTGCTGTTGAGTCACGCTGCTGGCGACTACGTCGACAACGGATTGCTGAAGATTGAACTTTAAGCTTAAGCTTTTGCTGTCGCGTGCCATAAATAGAACCCGCGCAGCTGCGAAGGAGGGAGAAGGGAGAGATGGTCAACAAAGTCGAAGTTAGGCAGGCAGCCAGGCGATGTGTCAAATACACATGTTTATGCACTTACTCTTTCATTTGCTCGCAGCTCGTCTAGTGTGTGTGTGTGTGTGAGTGCCTGTGAGTGTCACAGCTTTGTTAAAGCGCGTGGCTGACTGGTAACAACCGTAAAACGCGTCGCGTAGTCTGCGACGACGCGGCTCGCTTTCTTACTCACATTCACATTCGCAATCACATTCGCGTTACGAGCACTCGCACACAATTGTAAACTCACACGCACACACATACACAGACGGACAGATGCTGACTCCCTCTCGCTCTGGGTGTTTTTGGCGCACTGCGCCTCTATGCCTGTGTGTGGGTGAGTGTGTGCCCACACACGAGCAGCGGCCTCTCGGCAAACTTCGTCGTACTTTAACCTGGTGGCAAGTCTGGGCGCGCGTCTCTGTCGGTGTATGTGTGCGTGTATTAGTGTGTGTGCGTGCATTAGTGTGTGTGTAAGTGTGGTCGCTTTGCTTACATATGATTGGCTGATAATTAAATTTCGCTTGTCGTCATCACTTGTCGCCGTAAGATGCTTGCTCGTGTTGCTGAGCTTTGCGTTCGGGCTCTCGCTCGTTATTTATATGCTGCGCGCACGATGAAAACTTAAACAAGTAAGAGATCTTGAAGAGTTAACTAGTCCCGGGACCGTTCAATCCAACGGCAATTGTAACAGTAAACTTTTAACGCCTCGAACACCGAGCAGGAGACGTAGCCACATAGAGTACAACTTTTTTTCGAAGTGTTGCATATCCAAAAGTACGCGAATTTAACAATTAACCCAGTGTGCGTGCCAAAAGCAACAACAACAATCATGTCTACAACAATGCTAAGCAAGTGCGGTGGCTTTGTCACGCGCCGCAATAATCAAATGTTGGCCCGAAACGAGCTGAGCTCAGTGCTGACCGCGCGCTCAGAGTCTTTAGGCAATCGCTTACAGGAGCCCATCGAACAAGCAACAGCCGCAACAACAACAGCAACAGCAACAGCAACAGCAACAACAGCACTAGCAACAAGTGCATTTGCCTGCCCGCGACTATGCGCCCAACAGTCCTACAGTCTCTTGTGTAAGTTCGTGTACCATGGCTGCTGTTGCAACAATTGTTGCTGCTGCATCTCAATGATTCACCCTCAATTTCTAATCTGACTTCAATTCAATTCGCACTCTTTCTCTCTGTGTGTGTGCGTGTGCGCGTGTGTTTGCCCGTGATATGACAGTTGACGCTGTATGCCAAGAGCGTGCTCGTCTCCTGGCCAGGCACTGGATATTGCCGACCCAATCCATATTTGCATAAAAAGCTCTGTTCATAAAAATAGTAGTGGCTGCCAGAGTAGGAGAAGTAAAACTACTTAACATTAGTCTAAGTTCACATATATTGCATTTTACATATATATCTTGGTTTCTTAATACTTAGCTGTGTGGCAAGCAGTCGACGAGGTCCTGGCCGACGTTGTAGCTTTTGCAGTTGCCACAGATCTCGATTATTTCTTGCTATAGTCTCGATTTCGATCTTAAGTTAAGCTCTATGCGATTGTTTCAAACATTTGCTTCCCTCTCTTGCAGCCTGTGGCAGCTACTTTGGCGTCTTGCTGGTGCTGATACTGAGTGCCAGCTATTTGCCGAGCGGCAGTGCGTTGCCGCGTCGAGCGCTCGGTCGCCACCTGATTTTGCCACACCGCCATCACGTGCACCTGCGATCAGCGGGGCAGGAGCATAAGCACAAGGCGTACCTATTGGTCTATAAGAAAAAGCTGAACTGCACAATGAACACGGCGAACTTCAGTTCGTCCACTTTGAGGCATGCCCTCAACGTGGTCATTGGCACGCGGCAGTCCACCATCGAGCTGATGACCAGCTGTGTGAGTAGTTGCTGCATTTGCGATGCCTTGGGATTGCCTTGCTAATGAATCCACACATTTTTTTGGTTCATCTCTTCTCGATTTCAGTTCAAGGGCACCGAAGAGGAGCTGGCCCAACGGTATCGTCTGCACCACTTGAACCTGGACTATCCGCTCAAGGCGGCTGTGAACAACAGCGAATACGATGGCCAAGGCACCGACTCGCTGGAGAGCGATCTGCTGAACATCTACCATTCGCTAGTCAGAGTTGGCAAGGTGCTGGCCATCGTGAACGAAACCGTCTATGAACAGACGACGCGCAACTACTTCCAATTCTTTGTGGAGAAGGTGGAGCACAACATTTTCAACGCTGCGAACTTCCTCAGCTGCGTCAGCGAGGGCGACGATCACATACCCGATCCCTTCAACAGGCATCCCTGTCCCGAATATGTCATTGTCAACGAGTTTGTCCAGCTGCTCAACGTGATCGAGAAGAAATATGGCGTTATGCTGAGGCAACAGGAGGCGGTGGAGGCGGCGGCGGCGGCTCAAGCGGAAGATTAACGTCTGCCAGTCTAAAAGCTACAGCCACATGCCACATGCCACCAGCCACCAGCCAACAGGTGCCCCCACAAGAAACTGTACAAGACAATGCCAAAAAAAAGAGAAAGAAGCAAAAGAAAAATGAATAGAATCAGCGCAGAATGTTGCCACTTCTATGTGCCACAGATCGGGCATATATATCTATAATATATATTATATGATAACTGAGCTTCTTCACTACATCCTGAATGCCATCTATGTTTACTAATAGCGTGTAGTAGCTAATATATTTAACGCCCCACTATTTATTATTTAATTTAATTTACATATATAAAGTGCATCTATTATTATATATGTATATATATATGTATGTATACATATATATATTTATTCATATCTTCGGCTGAACATTTATATTTATTTATATATTTTGATCATTTTTGTGTATTGCTTTCTTACGAGTTGCAAGCCCCAAAAGTATTATGAACTAATAAATTATATTTGCGATTTAAAAGAATAAAAAAAAATCTCGAAATTAAATGGGGCACGGGAAATTGGACATCGATGGCAAAAGTTTGAATATGTTTGGAATAGCTCAAAGATATGTCAATGAAAGAGTATATATTATATATATATATATATATAAATATATATAGATATATATTTATATCCATATCTATATCCCAAGATATTAGCTCTCTGTTTATCGTAAGATTTTGGTCTGGCATTTCCGTTTCGGGCATTTGGCTTTTGTTGCATTCGATTGTTTACGCTGCGGCTGGAGCGAGGTGAGTGGAGCGTGAGTATGCAGCGATATGTCCGGTTGGCATTTGGTTTCATGGTATTTGCCGTAATTAGCCACACTTTGCATTCGTGAAAATGCAGATGACAAACGGAATATTTGATCAGGACAACGAAGCTGAGTTGATCTGGGCATGTCCTGTATAAATATCGATAAATATCGATGTTTTTACTTGTCTCTCTTCAAATCAAAAGCATGCTGCATTGAAGCATGCCTAGGTGAACGGTAAACGTGTGTGTGAGTCTCCTAGTCGCTCACTCGCCTGGCAGCGACAGGTGACAGATTTAACGACAATCCAACGATAGTTGCCTTGACCCACCCACAAGAGACGGCAAGCACGTTCCATCGATAGATTCAAGCCACATTCATGTGTATATTTAGAGTGCCATAGTTATTCAGTCATGCATGTGTGTGTGTGTGTGTGAGTGAGAAAAAACCCCGAATTGTGCTGGCAGGTGAGTCAGTGATACATTAAAAAATTAACGAATGTGGGAACTGAAGTGCGAGTACGAGTATGCCCCAAAAGTGATCGAGCAGTAAACAGACACACACACTCACACACACACACACACGCAGATACATTGAGATATCTTAACGCCGGCGCCATTGGTGCAGACTGTCATTGATTTACCGTTGTGTTGGTCACACTTCGCTGGCTTCGCTCTGTACTGGACTCTGGACTCCGAGCATCCTGTATCGCGTTAATCGGTAATCGGATCGATATGCGGTTGGACGCTGCGCGTGGCATTGGCAACACGCACAGTCAGCGTCAACGTCACCGTTGCCCAACCCCCTTGCTCGCAGCCCACACACTGACAACGAATCTCTAAGCTAATTAGAGCTAACTGTTTACCCAAGCGCGTGCCCATTGAGTCAGCATCGGCAGCGTCGCTAACGCTGCCAGCAGCGTTTTATGAATGAATTCAACGATTCGCGTCGTTCGCGTTAGCAGTGACAGCGACGCCAGCAGCGTCAGCGACAGCAACGAAGCAACAGGTGAGCAGAAAGCGTGAGAAAACGCAAGCATAAAGCAGGTTCTTTGCGCTCTTCCACTCACTCACACCACTTATCATGGTCGCTCTCTCAGCACTCACTGAGAGCGGCTATCTGAGCGCATTGCGTGCGCTCCCATTGGTCCGTTGTCTGCCGTTCATATAAAAATTGAGCGCACATGTGCACCAATAAGCGAAGCGACTCGCACTAACACAGACATGCACGCTCACACAGACACGCACTCAGAGAGACTCAGCCAAATGTAGAGAGGCCAATGCACAAACGCCAGTGGCCTTTCGCTTTCCCTCACTCTCTCTCTTTCACACACACACAAAGAACTTGTTATGCCGCCCCAAATGCAAGCGCTCAGTTTGCGTGGGATTTGAGTCAAGTTTAATTGGAATTAAGCTGGGAATTTTATTGTAGCCAATTTAAGCACTATCTCATGTTTTTATCGCTTATCCGACTGCAATGGATTTTCCAGTTTCTACCTAGCTGCACCGCACCAAACTCCCGCACCACCAAGAAAATTCCCACTTTGATTTTTGGAATAAGTTGGAATTACCCAACAGCTAAGATATCATATTTGTAAACGTATATAATCTATAATGTATAAAATAATCCAATTTCGATTTGTGTTTATTAGCGGTGCCTAGGGAAATATGTAAAAGAAAAGTGCTGGCAAACTGATAACAAAAATTAAATATATATTCAAATGTATATACATTTAAGTGTGTGTTTATGGAAATAGTAGTGCTATATTCATTGTAAATATAGAATTTTTTTTAATTTTTGTAAAATAATTAATTTCTATAATTATATATATATTAACCAATTATAATTATATTGCTAAAAGGAATAATATAAATAATAAAATTAGTGAAATATTAATATAATACATAATATAATATAATATATAACATTTATAATATTGTAAATATTTTAAATAAACAAAATAATTTGACAAAAATGTATTTAATTTAATCAGGATAAATTAAGGAAAACTATATCTTTAAGTTAATAATAGTGTTAATGTTAATTAGTGTTTTCTGTCTCATTGACCTGCTCTTCAATGATGCTGCAAAATGTGCGCCGCCATTCGATGCTCATTGAAGTATTTGTAATTATTTGAGATGTGGCCAAAGCCAATGCCAATTGCAACGCTAATTTGGCAAAACAAACAGGCAAAGTGACCAAACAAACGAATTAACTGACCAACCGTTGCAATCCATTGCCGCCTGTACAGTAGGACACCTGAAACATGGCCGCAATGTGCGAATTGGCAGTAAAAATCATGATAAAGTGAAACGATTTTACGCATAATCAAAACAGCACTAGCCTCTAAAAACTCACACCTCGGCATACAAGTTGCACACCCACAAAACTACACACACACACGCACTAGTTAGAGCGAGAGCGAGAGTGAGAGAGAGAAAGGGAGAGGAGATACCCGGGCTCAGGGGTTGTGTTCGGGTTCGGTTTTGGTTACGGTTACCGATTTGGCCAGGTCTCTGTGTGGGACAGGAGCTAAGCGGCGTGTAATGATTATACCATAGCTGCAAGCATGCAGCGGGTATATATGCGTGACAAGGGCAACAGGCAAGACAACCAAATGCTGAGATTTATTTATTTCTTAGATGAATTGTGGTTGATATTCTCTTATATTTATAATAAAAATATAATTTTATGTATTGATTTTATATTTAAATTAAATAAAAATTTTAAAATTTTAAAAAATGTTATTTAAGAATTTTTTTCGGATGAGCGACAAATATTTTAGTATTTCAAAAATATAATAAAAAATTAAATAAAAAGTTTGAAAAAAAATTAAAATGTATAGTGAGAAAATGCAACAATTATTGTATACAATAAAAAAAAAAGTTAAAAAAAAATTAAATATAATAAATAAATAAATAAATAAATAAATATATATATATTATACATTTACGCGCATATAATAAAAAAAAAACCAACTAAGTTAGTTTAATTTACAGGGTATACTGAAGTCGACCCGCTTGCGGCCCTTCGCTGCTCGGCTAACCATTCACTGGGTGTGCGAGGTCGGCGAAGGTGCTCGGCCGCCTTTGGCGTTGGCTGCGGCAATTTAAGCGTATCCTTTCGATTTGATACGGCCGGTAAAAAAAATTACAGCATGACAGCGGATCCGAGGACCGCACAGAACAACTCAATTTTGTAGCAAAATATTTTGTTGTCCAGAACGAATCGCAACTAAAACACAGTGTGAGCGAGGTCAGCACGGCCGAGGGAATGCGAATGGGAATGCGAATGGGAGTGGGAATGGGAATGGGAATGGGAATGGGACACGGACTATGTGTCGGTGGCAGCAGCCGTTGGTCGGATCCTTTCGACGAGGCGTCCTGCCGCGCCTGCGCACTCTGTGTATGCAGACAGCAGCAGCAGGAGCTCATCAATGCAATAATCGTGTTTGTTGTCCATGTAGATGAAGTTGTTTGGTGCGAATTGGTCAGATACAGAGACAGATACAAGATACAAGCGCAAGATATAGATATATGTAGGTGCATCCCAAGGGACGGCATACAAAGGATGCTGTCTTATTGCTATGGGTGTGCGTGTGTGCGTCGAGTCCTGTGCCGTGTCGTTCGGTGTGGCGCGCGGCGAAAATCAAGGCGAGTGACCCCGCTGCGCGACACGGCTGCTTCCTGCTGCTGCTGCTGCTGCGCGGCCCAGTCAACAATTGCACTTACGGTTAGACGCAGGACTCTCTGTGCCCGGCCATGGCCATTACAGCTGTTCGGCCAAACAATGTGGCCATAATTTTGTAACAAAGTCAAAGGAACAATACAATGCAGCAACTAAATTTAATTAGCTCGTCAATTGTCCCACTTCGCAGACAGGCAAACAAACACAAACAGCAACAGCAACAGCAACAGAAGAGTCGTGTGTGAGAGCGAGCATAGGTAGATCTCGATAGATGGAGTATGGATATATCGTACCCTCGAGTCAGGTCAGTTTTGATTAGGCGACCGCCCAGCAATTGAGGCCAGGTAACGCCCGTCCTTTATGGCATGGGGCAGTCGCGTTAGGTAACACCAAACAGCATTTACCCAATCGATCGTCGATTGACCTGCCGCCAACTGCAGCTGAGCAAGGCCCAACCAGCTGCTGAGATCGGTCTATATAAATATGCAAATCGATCCTTCAACTGCCATCAGTGCGCCAAAAACTGTTGATTCGACAGAATGAGACCGAGCTGAGTTGAGCCCTACAGTGCTGAGTATCTGAGTACTCGAGCTCTGTTCTCTAGCCAAGCAAACGCAAATATATAAATCTTAACTCTACGGAACTCTGCAGAGCGCAAGAACTGCGCAAGAAAACACGGCTTATAGAGAGTACATACGGTATACCTAAATGGTATATACAGTATAGATCGGTAGATAAATATATCGAATAGATAAATGTGTTTAGCTGTATAGATAGATATATAAACATCGCATATATATAGTATATAAGGTGAAGATGTGTATGTATATAGTATGGATAGATATATAGTATGGATAATATAGATAGTCTAGATAGTATAGGTCTAGATAATATAGATAGTGTAGATAGTCTAGGTAGGTATCGAAGATAGGTAAATAGTCTTTAAGGTTTCGACAGATATTTGGATAGATAGATAGATTATACAGTTAAGATTGTATACATAGATATATTGTACATGTATTATATATAGACAAATAGAGAGTATATATAGATAGTAATGCCAATACAGACTTTAAGGTATTTTTAAATATTTATATATATTTTAATTATTATATTTTATTATATTAGAAATAAAAATAAAAATAAGTTAAATTATATTTTTAAAGATTTAACATTTTTTTTAAATATTTTAAAACAATTGAATTTGAACATGTATTCCAAAATATTTTTCAATTAGTTTTAAAATAATTTGAAATATTATAATATTAATTCTAAAGTAATTTAAATTTTTTTTATATTCATATAGAAATAACTTTAAAATATTCAAGTTTTTTACTATTTATTTAAAATGATTTAAATAGTTTTTCATATAAAATAAATTTATTTAATATATTATTTTTTTTTTTCATATAAAATATATTTATTTAATATTTTATTATTATTTTTTCATATAAAATAAATGTATTGTTATTATTTTTATTATATTATATATTTTTAAGTTTTATTAATCATCATAATAATTTTTTGTATTTTGGGATTAATGTTTATCATTTAAATTTATATGCATATAGCTAGTAGAAGTTTTTAACAGTAATATATCAAAGATCATAGACAAACTTCTATGTATTTTTCCAATCATTCCCCTATAAAGATATATATATATAATTCAGTGTTTGGTCAGAATAATTTGTAAAATAATTAAAAGTCTTCAGCAATGTTTTGCTTAGTTTCATATATTCAAGACTTAATTCGTTTAAGGATATGCTTCTATGAGAAAAGATATATTTTAGCGGGAATATATATATAAATGCATTGAAGTTGGAAACTTGACTTTTGCTGATCTTGTGTGGCATTAGCCTTCTATATATTTATATCAATGAGGATGGAAGAGGGCTGAAAGGAAACCCAAGATCCTGACGTATTTTATGGACAAATTAAGCATACTTTACGGCGTCGAGACTTCAGCAGTTACTCAATATCTGAGCTATAGACAGGTAAATTAGCTTTTAGATCTGTTAGGGCTTAGCCAAGGTCATTGCAAGACAGTGCTATGTCTTCTAGAGAAAGAAAGAAAGTTCAAGAAACTGATAGAGCATAACTCAAAGAGAGAGAGCGAGAGTGAGAGAGATGCAGGGAGAGATGCAGGGAGAGAGTGAGTGAGAGAGTGAGAGTGAGTGAGAGGCAGCTGTTGCCTTGGGGCAGGCGTACGGTCAGGTAGATTGATTTCTATGAGCACGCTTTGAGTGAAATCTTCTCATTGGATAAGCTGAGCGTGAGCCTGGTGGCTATCAACACAGCGATGGCGATTCACACACACACACACACAGAGAGACGAGTGACCGAACAGGGACCGGCTTAAAAAATGCTCGACTAGCTGGTTGGTCTGCCTTTTGTTGGACGTGTGTGTAGGATCAGGTATATACACAGGCACAGAGCGGGGCAGGTCCAGACAACACTCGATCAGGCCTGACAGGCAGGCAGACAAATGGAAATGGACTGGCAGGCAGCGCAGCTCACGCACGCGCACACACACTAACACACACACACACACACACACACACACCTATATAGAGAGGTCTCTGAATGTCGCGTCGGTCGCTTCGGTTTCGGCTGTCGAGTCTCTGGTGTCTGAGCCACTGCGGCCGCCGCTGCCGCTGCCACTGCCACTGCCACCGCCGCTGCTGCTGCTGCTGCTCAACAAAGAAAGCTGGTCGAATTTAGCGCAACTTTTGGTTCAGTTCGGTTTTGTGCCTGGACGTGAACAGTAGTGTCCGCGAGAAGTGTTCTTCAGTCTAACCAACCAATAGCAGACCAACGCCACTAACTGTCATCGCAAGATACACAAAGCAAACAAATAAAAAAAAATGAACAACTTTTTTCTTCAAGTGCATTTCGTGTGTTAAAACCAAGTCGAGAAACAAGAACAACAACAGCCACTGGATTTAACTGCAAATTGTTGTTAACAATTTGGCTAGACGAACCTCGTGTCGCTCTCTTTATTTAAACTATAATGCGGTGTGTGTATTAGTTTTGTTTTCTTACTTATAATATACTTAATTTAGTTAAATTGAGCTCAGTCTGTTGCATATTTGAGGCGTCGATCGTATGCCTCAAGTATCCATTTGACTTGCCTCTCTCACGACTTTCTTGGAGCGAAAGGAAACTGCGCATGCGCCACAGTTTTTCCTTTTTCCTTTTTCCTTTTTGTTTTTTTCGTTGTTTTTCTTTTTTTTTTTTTTTGATTCGATTGGATGTGGGAAAGCTGGGAATGTCAAACAGTTGAAATGAGTTTGCGCTCATTTCGTCGCCTTTGCTATGCCGTACAATAGTGTTGAAATTGAGAGAATTGAGTTAGCTGTTATATATATAAATTCAAAGTTTTTGTAAAATCTAAAATCGAAAAAGCGGAAAATTTTGAACGCACAAAAAAAACCCAAAAAAAAATGTTACAAATTCTAACAAAATTTTTGAGATACAAGCAAGTTGCATTGCTGTTGCATTTGCATTGTTGAACGAAAAAACCCCAAAACGCCCCATCAACAGAAACCAACAACAATAACGACAACAACAACGACAACAGAAAACAACAACAACAATAACAACAACAATCGAAATCAAAAATCAACAGAACTGAAATTGAAAATTGAACATAGAAAATAGAAAATAGAAAATAGAAAATAGGAAATTGAAAATAGAAAATAGAAAATTGAAAATTGAAAATAGAAAATTGAAAATTGAAGCGTCCTGTTCCACTCTATTCTGACCCAGGGACACCAATTTTTGCCATGTTAATCACTTGATATTCATTGTGTGTGTGTTTATTTTTTTTTTGCTCTTTCTCGTTCTCTTTTGCATTTGCCGAACACCCATATTTTTTTGCTTTCTGGAATTTACTGTTACGAACGCTTTCGCACTTTCGCACTTTGGCATTTCACCTTCTTTTTGGCCCATTGAACACACACGATCCAAAGTCCCAACCAAATCGTCAAATCATTAAATTATTAAATATATATTTCATACAAATCGATAAGAAAAAAACAAGAAAAACAAGAAAAAACAAGAAAAAAACAAGAAAAAGTCAACATCAACAACTAAATCTATATATATATATATATATATATATATATATATATATATATATGTATACTTATATGTATATATACATATATATGTATATATGTATATATATATATATATATAAATAAATATAAATAAATAATAAAAAAACATATATATATATATATATATATATATATATTGTTATCTATCAATAGTTGGTTGCCATTGCGCTGCAACCACAGTTAAAGGCACCAAGACGGCACCGCCAACGGCAAACACAAGGACAACGCCCCGCATCAGGCAACGGCTTCAGCGTATTGCGCGGCAGGACAATGCGGATATGTGGTCCAATCTGCTGTTGCCATTGCTGCTCCTTCATTTCGTCTATCTGCATGCCACGCTGGCTATGGCTACGGCTAGCGGTGGCCTAACTGTCATTGAGGGCGCCAGCACCACCAGCAGCAGCAGCAGCGGCAGTAGCAGCAGCAGCAGCAGCGGCAGCGGCAGCGGCAGCACCACTGCCACCAACGGCAGCAGCCACAGTCGCACCAGCACAACCACCGGCGCCGTCAATATGGCCCTGTCCACAGCAGCCGTTGCACCCGCTTCCAGTCAGCGGAAGCGGCATCGCAAGCGGAACAGCAGCTGGTACGACTATCGCAACTACAACGAGAATACCACGGCGCCCGAGTGGATCAATCCCTGCGGCGGCTCCTACTATACACCCTCAGCCACAGAGCGCCGACGCGCCCAGAGACCCAAGCAGGTAACTACTCAGCGCCAGCTCCAGCAAACGCCCACTCACACTCTCTCTCTCTCTCTCTCTACTTCTCTCTTTCCTCCATTTAGATTTTCAATCAGCTGAAGCGCGCCGCCCGCACGGAGTACCACGAGCTGAACAGCACCGAGGATCACTCCGGCATCGATATTAGAGACATGCACGTGTGGTCGCTGCACAAATACAATTACAAATTTCTGCCCAAGCTGAAGCCCAACTCAACGGTAAGTAGAGAAGCTCTCGCGCTGTCTCTGTCTCCCTCTCTCTGTCTCTCTTATGCTATGAAGCTAGCTCATGTGCTGATGCGTCTCTCCCTCTCTCTCTCTCACTCTCATGTGCAGATCGCCCTGAAGCGCTGGTACCGCAACATGCAGACCTATGTGGCAAGCTTTGCCTACTTGCGACGCGTCCAAATCAACTGGGATCGGCAGTACTTGAAGCGGGAGTCGAACGTTGCCAAGGAGCTGAAGAAGCTGTTGCTTAGCTCGCGCAGCATGTTGTGCGAGCTGGAGACCGCTGTGAATCGCACGTATCCGGCGCTGGCTCCGGGCCGAGCGGCCGCCAAGCAGCGCCGCCAGAAGCATGTCTCACGCAACGACATGAACAAGCGGCTCAAGTTGCGCAGCAAAAGTCGGCCCGGCGCTCTGGCGCTGGCAGCGGCAACGACCACCGAAACGGCAGCGGCCGCAGCGGCAGCAACGGCATCGGCCATCGGCGAGGCCGACTCCATGGACATGCGCTTCGTGAAGCATCATTATTATGAATTTCTGCGCACCATGTGGCAGCTGATGCGACGCCACAGCAGGCGGGAGCGGCAGCAGCAGTCGCCGTTGGAGCAGCGCCAACGCCAGCAGCAGCAGCAGCAGCAGCAGCAGCAACAACAGTTGCAGCACCATCAGCGGCAGAGGCAGCGCCAGTGGCATCAAATGCAGCAGCAGCAACAGCCGCAGTTATCGCCGGCCATCGCTGGCAATCGCAGGGAGTTCAACGAGGTGTCCAAGCCCATAATCGATGTGGTTAGAGGTGTAAGGGGGCGGCGCGGCAAGCGGCAGCAGCCGCACTCAGCGTCTGCGACAGCAACAGCAACAGCATCAGCGTCAACGTCTACGTCAGCGTCAGCGTCAGCATCAGCGTCAGCGTCAGCGTCAGCGTCAGCGTCAGCGTCAGCATCAGCGTCAACACAGCAGCGACACCTGCGCCGCGTGCTGCGCACGTGAAAACTCCATAACAAGAATAATATTATGTGTATTATTCCGAAATGCAACCCTTAGCTCGCCTAGTTTAAGTAAATTATTTGATGGAGTTTGCAAACAAGTTTGTTTAGCTCTTTCTAAGCGCGCTCTCTCGCTCACTCCTATTCTCTTGCTCTCTCACTCTCTCTCCGTCTCTGTTTAAAGTATTATTTATTGAAGCAGCAAGCGTATTCTCGAATTAATTGTAAAGTTTGTAGACGTAAGTCGTCAGCCCTAGTTCCTAGACCCAGCCGAGCATCCACTCAGCAGTTGCCGTTCTAGTCACATATGCGCAACTGCAGCCCCAGCCCCAGCCCCAACCTCCCTCCCCCTCCACGCCCGCCCATTTGACATCCAAAACCAGCTCAAAAGTATTATAAACTGTTTTCGCAATCTCTTCTCATTTTTTTTATTAGTGTCTTAAGTTAAATTATATAATTCTTAGTTAGATTTTAAGTTTTTTTGTATAGCTCTAGGTCTTGTTTAACTGTGATATAGTCGCATAATGCTAGTTAGTTTGTAACCTCGCTCTCTTCTTTTTTTTGAATATAAGTATTTAAAGTTGTACATAGATAAATAAGCTAACGAATCCATACACACACTTTTTTATTCATATTAAACATGTTACGATAAGCTGCGACAGAAAGCAATCAATAAATGCAAATATTGAAAAATAAAAATCGACTTTTACTAAGATATAAAAAAATAAAAAGTTAAACGGGGAACTCATCATTTTTAATTTTTTTTTAATATATAATAACTAATTGAAAATATTTAAATAAAATGTTTATAGACTTGTAGGTATATAATAAATTTAAAAAAATATATATTTAATTTTTCAAAATGATAATTCAATCAATTTTTAACCATATAAAAGAAATCAAACAAAGCAAGTCATAATTTTTAAAAATTTTTAATATAAATCAATTAAGAATATTTAAAAATTAAAAAAATTTTCTATTTATGATATATTAAACAATTTAAAAATATATACATGTGTATATTTGTAGATGTATAAAATATAAAAAAAAAATAAGTTGATTATTTATATTTAATTTAATTATAAATATATGAAAAAGCATACAGGTTGATATATATTTAAATTATTAAAAGCAATAAGCTGATTACTTTTAAAATTATTATTATTAAAAATGTTTTATGTAATATTTGACTTGTTTTCAGTTTTGCTAAATTTAATGAAATTAAAAAAAAAAACATATATGACTTATTTAACTTGAAGCTGAAACTAGTTCAGCTATAACGCGTCAGATGCTCGAGAAGTTTGAGATCTTGTAATCGTATAACACATATATAAATATATATTTAATAAAAAAATTTTTTTATTTTAAATTTATATCTAAAGCTAAATTTTCTTCTCTTAAAAAATAATTATTATATCATATATTATCAATATATGAAGATTGAATTATTTAGATGTTTTCAGCTGCGACTTTAGCTTATCAAAAGCCATTTCTGTTCTATGCGTAAGTCTTTAATAGATAAATAAATATTTAAATAAAATAAAAAAATAAAATAAATTCAAATTTAAATAGATTTCAATTTATAATCGATAAAGAAAGATCAACAAAAAAATAGAAAATCATATTAATTTATTTTTTATATTATTATATTTTTAGTATATTTATAAAAATAATATAAAATATATTTTTAGTTTAATGTGAGTTCATGTAAAGTTTTTGTTGCAGCTTCAGAAATCTCGTTGAAGACATTTGCCACTTATCATTTAAGTCGTTTAAATTGATTTCTAGAATTTCCAATATTTATATGCAGCATTGTTTATAGTTTTTTTCATAAAATCTATAATATATACAGTTGGCTCTCCAAGGCATGGAAGCTTTGCAGCGACACTGGTTGAGGCTTCCAGTTGAGCTGACCAACATAGATTGACTTATCAACGATGCTTCCAGTTTCTTATGGAAGGCACTGGAGAGATTACATTCGACGCTCAACATGTCAATTGGTGAGTTAATGTATTTGTTACTGGATCCAGTTTGCTTAACTATTCAAAGTGGAAACTTGGAGTCGCGCGCTCTGCCTGCTTTATGATCGATTCGTCTATGTAGCGCCCTTCGTGTATTTATGTGGGGTCCACTGATCGTTTGGCTTTATGGCTGCAGTGCAGCGCCCGCCCCTGCGAGAAGGTTTTTATGATCCTTTGGCAGCGGCGTCAAACTATTAGCACTTCTGGCCCAGCACGCGCAACCGGCGGGAGAGGCAGCTGCATGGAGTCGAAGTCGCAGTCGGAGTCGAAGCAGCAGTTGCCGTCCAATGCCTCCACCTGCCTACCTGCTGCTGCTCGGGCAGGTGAGCACTGGCCTTGAGCCGAGATCAGTCTCAGCGACATCAATGGGCAGCAGCAGTTTGCTAGTTGGCCGATAGCTTAGTTGATCTGAGCCAACTAACTCAATGAACTTTGGCGCATGTGTGTGGTGCTGAGCCGCCGTTTAGCCGGGCTAAGCAGCCCACAAAGTAAGTGCTCACTGTACCGTCCGTCCGTCCGACCGTCCGTCAGTCAGTCACTTGGCCTGCACTTGTTGCTGGCTGCTTAGCCACTCATTGTCGCTATCTGGACTGTAATCCGCTGCTCGCTTTGTTGAAAGCGGCTTTACGCAAATTTACTTTTTAATGCCGTTGGCTTATTGAGCCTAGTATTAAGCCAAGCTTCGTTTAGGGCGCTTAGTGGCACCTTTAGGGCCGGGGATTAGCGCAGCCAAAAACGGAAGCTGCCAAATGCTGGCAAGCGGCAAGTTTTAGCAATTCTGCTGCCGCTGCTGCTGCTGCTGCTGATTGCTGCTGCTGCTCATGTTCTGCTGACCAGGGCCAAGTGTTGACATACAAATGGATTATAGACCGGACCTGCAACAAAAATATTTGAATATTATGCTGCTGCCGCTGTGGCTAAGCCGTTTATTGATTGCAATCGAACAGGCAGTCAGCTAGCCAGGCAGCAAGGCAGCCAGGCAGCAGAGCGTTCAGCTTCCTGGCCAAGTATTAGTTAAGCCAGTAGCCGGGCTGTGCCTAAGCCGAGCGTCGGCTTTTTCGCTGCTCGCTGCGCAGTGTCAAGTGTCCCCGTTGGCTGGGCCAAAAGGGTCGATTGCACCTAAAGTAGGTGTTGTTATGTTTTTAGCTGTCATAAATATTGTAAAAACTTCGTAAATATTTAAACAGCGTGCACAATAAAGGCAAATGACAGAGGCTTGTTCGGGTTGCTCCTCGGGTGCGGGTGCGGGTGCGGGTGCGGTTCGGGTTCGGGTTCGGACTCACTCGTTGCTGTGCGACTCTTGCGCTCTATTGTCCTCGACCAGGCCATAACGGTGGTTGCTTTGCGGCCACCAAAATAGCAACTGTGCGAGAGAGAGAGAGAGGGAGAGAGAGAGAGGCAGATAGAGCTGCCTACCTGTGCGAGAGCAGAGTGTTTGTTTTACTTACTTTTGAAATTTGAATATGTCGAAAATCGGAATCGGGGCCGGGGCCGGAGCTAAAGATTAACAACATTTAATAACCCATCATTTCTCGGCCCGTACCATTCGGTGCCTTTGTGGCAAGCATTTTTAGCCATAATGCAGATAACTGCATTTTTGTTTCTTCTGGCCGTGCCTTTGTTCCCTACCTCCGTCCCGCTGTCCCTCCGTCCCTCCGTCCCTATGTCTGTGCCAACTTTTTGCCATTGTCCTTTTTTATTTTACAATTTTATTATTATATTCTGTTTCCTTTCTTTCTGTCTTTCTTTTTTTTATTGCTATCCTGCAGCTAGTTCCCAGAAGCGAGCGCTGCAAAATTAAGATCGTTGCAACGCGATGCTGCTGCGTGTGTGACATTTGCAGATAGCAGCTCCACGGCTGGCTCTGGTCTCTAGTGGCAAATCAATTAGAGTTTCAACTGCTGTATTTCAAATCGAAATTAACTTCCTAATTGAGTCACGCATCGGATTTGTGGCACGAGCAGCAAATCGAGTTGATTTCTTATAGCTTGCAAAGGGACAAAGCTCACAGCGAGAGAGACCAACATTTTCTTTAACATATTTTCCATTTTCTTCCGCTTCTTCCTCGCCTCTGGCCCTAAACTGTGTTAAGCAGCATTCGAGCTGTAGCTTTGGGCATTGTATTGCTCTGCCGTCCATCAGCAATTCGAGCTTAATTGATTCGCTTTGAGACAATGGCGTGTGTGTGGCAGCCGCAGAGGTCTTCAAATAATCTAAATGAAATCACAAATAAACAAATATATTTCAGCACCGCATCGAAGTGCCCTTTGCCGTTTCAATTGGCCGGATTTGTTTGTAAACAACTTTTTAGCTCTTGATACACGAGCCAAGCTTCTGGCCACACCAATTTATTGCTATTATAAATACATAGCTTTGACCTTTATACATTATAGAATGAGTCTCAGAATTGCTGTCGTTGCGTTAGCTGCCCTGGAACTGCCGTACAGGGTATGAGCAGCCTGAATTACTTATCACAATAACAGCTAAACACAATCTGTGCACACGTGTAAACGGGTGGGAAGCGTTTGGCGTTAGTTTGCTGCGGTTCCGGCCTCGCAGCCAGAATGTAAATCATGAAGCTTCTTGTCTTGCCCTGGCAGCAGCAGCAGCAGCAGCAGCAGCATCTAATTATATAATTTGCGTGGCTTGACTCGCTGCTGCTTCTTCTGCTCCTTCTTCTTCTTCTTCTTCTTCGTTTTGACTTGTTTTTATTAACACACATTTTTATGGTCATTTATGTAATTTCATAGAGTGCGGCAACATAAATCCCAAAGCGAGTTCTCATTTAACAGTCGCGGCTCTGGGCTGGCTGGGATTGGGCTGTCGCTTGTTGTTTTTTCTGCTGCCCAGAGAGGCGGT